TCTCTTGTGGGTGTTCCCACTTTGGTAAAGAGTGCGAGGGGCTAAAAGGCCACCAACATTGTTGCCCACTTGATCATGAGCTACGAGAACTTGGTCTAATAGTACCAAATCTAGTTCTGAGTGCTACGCGCACTTGTGGGAGTGCTCCAGGTGCCTTAAAAAAGAACCCCGAACCAAGAGTCCCTCGTCCCGCAACGGCAGGGGGGGGAGGGGGGGATTCCTCTGGGAAGCAGGAATGCTCTCCCCTAATCAAGTCCAGGGGCCACTTGTTGTGCACGATTGTCAAACGTCAGCTCCCAATGATAGGTTCAAGGGAAACCAACGTATTTTCTACTTTGATCATCCCCAGAAACAGTCAAAATCCTGGATGGCCTTTTGCAAAGCCGAATGGCACTGGCAAATGCAGAACGCATCCGGTCTCGGTGAAAGATCCATCTGTTTTCAACCAGCTGAAACTACAAAAGACACCTGTCCAAATGGTGACTGCAATCAGTTCCTTTTTCATTTTCACATTGTTACTCTTCAAAGACCCTGCTGAGGGTTGAAAATTGGCCCCTGGTAATGTTCTACCCATGTGGCTTGGTTGTCGCCACACATATTGCAGATTCCCTTGCCTGAGATGCCGTTTTGCGAGGATGGCAGTCTTCCACAACCCTCCTGTCCACTATGCGGCATTTGGAGCAAACATGCTCCTCAGACATTTGGCGGACATCCTTTTCATGGGATATTTATGTCCGGCAACCTGTTTGCCCAAGTGGTTGCGTGGATGTGTCTCCAAATGGCGGGACGGGTTTTCCCTCAAGTTTGCCTTTGAAGCAGATCTAATTCACTGCCACTTTCAACCACTTCATCGCAGGCTTGGCCGGTCCGTCCATCCGAGGTAGGAAAAATGTGTTCAAACAACCAGCCTCCAAAAGGAGGTTGTTAAGACACTGCTGTTGATGGACACAAGCCTGCACAAGTTAAGTGGTTTCTCCCAGTGTTCTTAGGTCTCAAGGCTTAATCCAACTTGCAAGTGGATTCTGTCCATCCACAGGTCTTCAAACATGGTCTCAACTGTTTCAACCAGAACAGAACCCCCTTTTTCTCGCCCAAGCGTTCCTCGTTCCACGCCGGGCGTCGGCACGTTGGCTGCCAGAAAGGCACTGTAGTCTGGGTGCGACAGCTGCTGCTCGTAGATCCGCTGGAGGCGCGCCGGGCTGGCGGCTTGGAAGATGCCCCCCGGCGGGAAGAGCCTCGACTCGAGTCAAGGGCATGGGCGGAATACCTTACCTAGGAACAAGTTAGGGATTGCTTGTAGTTTCGTAGGCAAATGTTGCAGCAGCAAGCCTGTGGGGACCCAAAGGTCGGCCTGTGTCCCTTGTGTCTTTGGGGGTGTCTTCTGTTCATGAAGCATTCCAAACCTCTCAGGGCTTATCTGAAGTTGGGGACCCACTTCTTCTTGGGGCTAGTTTTAAGTCAAATGCTTCCATTCTACAAGGTTTCAACAGATTCGGGACTTGCCAGGGGTGAGCAAGACGCTAGCTGTGATCTCTGGAACTTGAGTCCGAACCTCCAGTTTCATCTAAATTGAGTCTTTCCAATCATGTGGAAACTGGTTGGGATTTTAAGGGTTCCTTTGATTTCCCTTTTGAACTTGTTGAAGAAAAAAAGAAAAATCACAAAAGAGGTCATATGAGACCCTATTTGGTTTGCTAAACTTGAAACAACCGTTTGCCACTTTTGGGCAGCGCCACTAGCCCCAAGCCAGGCCATAGATATTCTTTCTATATATATATGTATGTGGATGTAAGTGGTTCTGTTGTCAAATGATGTTTGGGGCCTGGTGGTTCGGATATGGCGGCAACCCCTTTCTTGAAACCTAGTTCGTAAGAAGGGTATGAGTCTTGCCCCTATGGCCGTCAAGGGTCGGGACATGCTCACTTTGGGGACCCAGCAGTATGTAGGTCATTTCCTCACATGGGAATCAAGAAGCCGACTTGCTAGGGTGAACATCCAAGGCAAAGCTCAGGAAAAGCGAGCCAGGAGTTTATTCGAATGGGAAACTTGGAAAAGGAATCCCTGCTTGATGGTGTTGAAAGAGAAACCATCGCGAGTAGGGATAGTCAGGATAGTCCCAAGCCCTGCTGGCTCTGTTCTAGGCAACTCCCAAGAAGTAATTTCAAACTGACCCACCAAAAAAGCAGCTAAAATAATGGCCGCACCAAAAACGAGCCTGTTTCCTTTGCACAAACATTCAACATGACCTGTTTGGGGCTCCTGCAACGGCTCCCGCAACCCCGACCCATCCCGCCCCGCCTAATACCTACCTCTTGGTCGGCATAGATATTGTCACCACCCCAAATCCTGAGCTAGGCCCGTGTGCAGAAGGGTCTAAACACAAAGCCAGATCCTTCATCCATGAAAGTGGTCGGTGCAGGGATATTGCCACATACCGTATCGTCATGTGCCCTGACCTGTTCCACGCAATTGATCCATCATGGGCAAAGGACTGCCCACCAATTGAAGTGGCCCATGGGCCTCTCTGAGCGAGTGGCCCGCTTCAACAAAGCCGACAACAAACAAGCGTCTGCGGCGGAAAGACTGCGCCACACAAACACATGACGTACACCATCACAACCACCACCGCTGCCGCCACCATCATGACTGTCTTCCCTTGCCTCCAGATAGGCAACGGAAGGGCGTCCAAGCCGCTTTCGGCAATGGCAATCAATTGGCAACAACAGTAGGAAGAGGGCACCCGTGAGGCGTTGATTCTGGAAATTACTTACCTAATTTAGGAAAAACCTACTTTTGTTACGGAACTCTGGGAAAGACGTTGAAATACACACACACACACACACACAGAGGAAAAGGAGGTCAAGGTAATACTAGGAGCGAATCGTTCCTGAGCGTCATTTTCCTTATCAAAGGGTGTCTTACGAGTATCCTTGGTAAACGCCCCAGGTGCATTGCGAATATCCTTGGGAAACAGTAAAGGTGTCTTACGTATCCCTGGTAAACATCAAAGGTGTACTGCAAGTGTCCTTGGTAAACGTCAAAGGTGACGTCACTAATTGATGGCGGACACATCTTGCGAGTATCCTCGGTAAACGTCATAGTCGCTTGGTAAGGTCAAAAATGACGTTGCTGATTGACTGCAGACACATCTAACTTTAAACGGCAAAGATCTATTTTTTGTTAGGGGGATGCCAGCTGCGTATCACAACGCCCAGGCACTGCCGAGCAGGTACGTTGGCCAAGGATCGCAGATTTCCTCCTTGGGCCCCCTGCTTGTCAATGAACTGTGACAGACATGCTCGTGACAGCATGTTACATACACGCACAATTTGCTCGCCTCCCCCCACCCCACATCCCACGAAAATGGCTTCCGGCTTCCGAGTTCCGAGCGGCCAAAGGTGAGGTTCTCGCGCCAGGATCTGCTGCCACATCGGCTGGCGCCGGTGCGCCAAGTTGCAGGACCCGAAGAGGATCTTCCTCGCGCAGAAACGGGAGACTGGACCAGAACGACCAAATCCATTTTGAACTTGGGATGGATGGCTTATCCTGTTCATAGGGCTTCATCCATCCCGGCTGCATAAATTTTGTCCATCCACAGCAGCAAGGAAGCACGCACGCAGGCACGCAGGCAAGCAGGCAAGCAGGCAAGCAGGCAAGCAGGCAAGCAGGCAAGCAGGCAAACAGGCAAGCAGGCAAGCAGGCAAGCAGGCAAGCAGGCAGGCAGGCAGGTTTCGTCCACCCTTGTTTTGGGGAACCAGGGAGCATGGGGGTCCTCACATGACATTGCCTGTTCTCAGATGAGCAACAGTCAAAAGCTGGTACCAATGGGTTCTACCCTAAAGCCGTGTAAAAAATCAAGAGGGCGGCTGCACCTATTTCTGGTTGGGACCATCCCGTACTAACCTTCAATTACCCAGGCTTGTTCCTGGCATGTTCAGCTCCGATTGGCAGAAGTCATGACAGCATCTTCGATGGGACAGCCACAGAAACCAAACCAAACTCACGTTGAATACATGATCCGTGATAGGATACAACCCCAAAATCACCTGGTGCGTGTGAAACCCAGATGAAGCAGCTGTGAAAGTCAGCTGCAATATGGCCAAGATGTATCCTTTAAGGAACCGTGTTGAAAGATTGTTTCAACGAATTCAACCCAAGGCTGCACCCTAGCTCAGACCCAGCCCAGCTTCGTTACGTCAGTGTCACAAGACGCTGAAGCCACCAGCACCCAGAGAATCCGGATCATGGCAAGGCGCAGGGCCACTTTGGGCCTAGACCTCTTTGGGCCGTTCTGCTGGTCCTCGAATAGGCATCTTTTGCAGGGTAGGGACTGCTTGGTGGGTGTTCAGTGTCAGGTGTTCAAAAGAAATCCAGCCACTTTGGGGATCTGATTCCTATTGTGAGGCACACGTGTTGCTGTCTAGCAGGTGCAGTCTATGGCGCGTTGTTCACGCCGGCTCTGTGCCGTGAATGAGCCCCAAATGTCGCAGAGAAGAGCCCTAGCCGGATGTTCAGTCCATTTGTATGTTCATGTTATATTGTCCACGGCTCTATATATATATATACATACACATGTGCGTGTGTCACAGTGTATATATATATATATTACTCAAATATATTACCTGTAAGTACAATACATGTTCATGACCTTGCCCTACTTCCCAAGTGGCTTCAACACCCAAAGCACCCCAAGCCTTTCTGAGGGAACTGCAAGCTGCAAATGAAGTGCCGCTTGCAAACAACTGGAATGGCAGGCCCTTCGAGAAGCCGTCTATAATGGGGGGACATCTGATCCTTGCAGAACATCAGGATTGGGCCTGTCCCTTGTTTTAACATGTTTAAGCCACTATTGGTTTACACGGAGACACGTGGTTGGCTAAATAAATGGAGTACAATTGCGAAACCAAAGCAAAATGGTATTTCAACTGTTTATTTCAATTGTTTGTTTCTACACACGTTTGGTTGTGCGACGGCGAGTTTGGGGCTCTGGGCCTCCCAGCTCCGGAACTGCCGCGTGCCCGCGGTGCCGCAGGCCCCGTCCCGGTGCACACAGCCCCCGAAGTCGATGAGGCAAATGCTGCCTGGGAGGTGGAACCGCGCGCAGAGCCCGAAACTCCAAGGCAAAATCTACAAAGGCACAATTCAAAAGCAAAATCGCAATGAATTTCGAGAGTTGGAACCCTCCAAAGTGGTTGGTGGACATAAATCGATAAAACTACATCATGTCCAAACGGTCTCTTATTGAAACTCACACCTGAAGCTACCCTCCAAGGGTTCGAACAGTAGCACTCGCAAGTGGTCGCAAACGTTCGCTGGGATTGCTGCTGAGCGTGTTTTCGCCCCTCTCTCCCTCTCCCTAGCGCGCAACAGCTGCAGTGCAAGAAGCGCACGCAGGCACTGGAAAACGATGAAAGACAAACCCAAAGCAGATGTTAATCAAACGACTCAGCCAAAGAGCAATTCTAGGTTTCCTGCTTGCATAGGCCCATGCTCGCCCCCCAGAAAAAGGCTCTCTTTGTAGTGCTCCGTGCCCCTGGGGAAAGTTTATGCTTCAACAGCGGGTTCTTCGGCATTTTTGACTTAGTATGTCATCCTGACATGTCACAGGTTTCTCTGGACTCATCCAGCGCTTGCTGCTTTGAGGTCAGAGGCAGGCGGTAGTTTGCGAAGTGGGAGGTGCCTGAATCTACTTCTCAAGACCGAAGTTCGCATTGTGAGATGGGGCTCGGATTCTTCCAAAGGAACACCTTCGTGGAGGTGCTTAGCTCTCAGGAGAGGAGGGCGGCGGTTGGATTGCATTAAACACAAAACAGTACAAGCCCACCCTCGCGTGAGCAGAATGGCCCGCTGGATCTGGCGTCATTGGATGGCTTTGGTAGATGTACCTGGAACAGTTCGACTTCGAATATCGCATTTGATCATTAACTGATTTGCAGGGGAGCACCCAACAAACACGAACCTGCACGTCACCCTTCCCAACGTACGATAAGATCATTCGCGCATCCTCCGCATAATTGGGGTTTGCATGATTATTGAACCTCTATCAAAGTCATGTCTTGGTTCCTTTTCGGGTCGAAGGGGCTCCAACAGTGATGATCTGACAACCCCTGAAACTAAAACCATCAGCCCAGTCAGGTTTTATCCGCAAATCGCGGAACCGACAAGAACGGGGTCCCCCCACTTTTCGTTTGGAAGACGCGGCTGCCCGAAGCTCCTGGGCCACCCCTCAGTCGTGTGGCCGCATGCTCTCGCCCGTCTCCTGGAGTCGCGTCTTCTTTTGAGGGACCCTTTTCGGGGAGGTCCAAAGGGAAGCCAAAAGGAAACCTACCATTCAGATACACACCCATAATTAGGCACTGTCGACAAGTGCTCTTTTTGTGGCGTTGCCCTGTCAAGGGGGGCCTTTCGGCACCAAGGTTGAGGGCAGCTTAGGATCTCTTAGGAAAATTGGCCCCTGAGCAAATGCCATGTTGAAGTGGGGGCAAGGCGAAAGCCACATTCTCATGGAGAGTCCAAATTCATCTAAATGCAAAGACAAACAAATGTGCATGAGAGGCCAAATCTTCAGGATATCCCTCTACTCCAAACATGCTCCAAACATGGTGGCCATCACTGCGGAGAAGGCGATGGCATGGGGCACCCCTCTCATTTGTGATTGGGAAAACAGGAGCTTATCAAAAGTGTCGCTTGGGAATGCATGTTGACCCGCATGCGCAGTTTCCTGGTTCCCACGAACATGCAGTGTCCTTATCAGCCATGGTTCAAGCCCAATTCGGAGTATTTCAATCTGTTCCATCACTTTCATAAAAGGCAAAGAGCCCACCAAGGGTTTAGGAGCCTAGCTCCAGGGGCTAGACATTACACACATTCTCCTGTGATTCTGACAAAGCTTGTTGTTTCAATACCCCAAGCCTCATAATGATTGAACGGCCCTTGGATTCCCCGAACAGCGCGCCCCCAGCCCCAAGCACGACTCCAGTCCCGCAGTCCCGGGGGTGTGGAGCCACGTAGTGCCCACCGTGGCGAAGCATTACGTTGCGGCACTTCCTGACGTGAGCTGAGTGTCGCTTCGCCTTGAGCGCCTTCAAACCGAAAAAGGCAAACAAAAGCATGGGATTCCTTTCAACTTGATTTCGATGCTTTCGAGCGATCCAAAGGAACTGAGGAATCAGCCATTAGATTCCGTCGAATCGAGAACGCAAAAAGCAGGAGGAAACAAGACCAAGGGGTACTGTATCCCCTGTGGATTCTCGCAATCCTCCAGGAACCCGGCCCAGGGTCGCCCCGAACACATTGGCTAAGACTGGTTTCTGAAGGATATGTGGCCAATTTGTGTGTTCCCCAATAGATTCATGCCCATAAACGCACGCGTGTGCGCGCTTCGTTGTCAGAAGCAAGTGAGTCTTGTCTCTAAAGGGGCCCTTGAATAGGGTCCCTTCAAGCCTACCTCTAAAGATCGCGTGGTACATGTAGAAACCCTTTCAAACAGCTGGCAAAGGTGGTTTTTGTTTGGGCCAATATGTTTTCCTTTGGCAACCCTGTTGAACCTACTTTCGACCCCAAAGGGACCTGCAGGATGCTTGCACTGGCTCGAGTCGATCGCTCCCAATAAATCGGCCCGCCCGATCGATGCCCCCAGGCGCCCGGCAGGTCGGTGTGGATAAAGCCTGCTACTTGAGCGCACAAAAACCATTCACGTTTGGTTCTAAGAGTGTTATAACATGTTGCAAAGCCCCATCTGGGTTTCCGAAAACCCCCATGACACCAGGTCGTGGAATCACAAAATAGGACTGGGGGTTGTGTGAGTAGCTCACTTGGCTTAAGCGACGTTTTTGGTTAACCGCGGCTTGGTGGTTGGGGAGGAACCGACGCTAAAGGGTGGTTTGTAATCAACCAATGAGGCGTCAAAAGGAACTGGGCTTCACACCCAACAACCAATCCCAACCACCAAGTGAGGGGTACCCGATTCTATTCTATGGGCAATCCAAACCACGAGCAACTGTCCAAAAAACGGCATCCCGCCTCAAAGCGGCGCAAAGTTTGAGGGTGTGCCCCGTTGGTTGACGTTTCAAGGGGGACCAAATCGGCCAATTGAAAGGAGTCCCCTCAAACGCCACTGTTCAAGACTGGGACTCACACACAAACTCTCGAAGTTTCCCCGCCTACACATTTGTGCGAGAAGCAATGAGGTCCGACTGCAAGTGTCCCTTGGGGCACAAGGGGAACCTACTGGAGGGCCATCGCCCAAAGTCGTTCTTCAAAATTACGCCTTGTGATTGGACCATGGAACACATCCAGCCTTGGCCGCTTGATAAGCTTTTCTTGGCAAGATGCCAACCCGTCTGCTCTATGTCAGGCCAATGACTCTGGCAACTCGATTGGCAATCTCAGGGAAGACAAGGGATATACAATTCACCTTTACCCTTTCTTGGCGGTTTGGTTTGGTGCCACTTTGGCTTCAAAAGGAACTGGGCTTCAAACCCCAAACCACAAATCCAAACTGCCTGAAATGGTGGCAGCTTCCACGGGGATTCCTTGGGTTTGCCTCCAGTTGGATAGCTTTGAATCAAAGCTTCTTGGGTCAAAAGATCCCATAGGAATCTGCGCAGAAAGGCGGGTTGACACCTTCTGGATTCAGTCAAGTAACATCCGCCAAATTGCCCCAAGCCACTCCCACAACTAAATTGGAAATCCCAAAAAGGAGCTTGCTTTAAGCGATACAAATCCCCAAAACTGCATCCAAACGCCGCGTACCTGCTTAACAAGGGGATCCCCCAACTCAGCTGGTAAAAGTGTTTGACTGGCGCACGGTCAGATTGTTTGCTCCCCCAAGAGGACATGGGAGAATTGGCGAGTCCCCCATTATTTGTATGTGTGGGAAATATAGTGAAATGGGTGGTTTGCCTTGAATTTGCCTTTAAAACCGCCCAACAAATGGTAACCTCAAAAAAAAACGGCTCCCCCAAAGTATGCTTCAAGACCCCTTTTTTGAGGGGCTGGGGACCTCTACGACCGCGCCTATGTGGTGCAACTCCGCCAGACCCTGCAGGAGCTGCCTCGCCATCTCCTGTGCATCCGCCAGGAACACGCCCCGGCCGTTCCTCGCGGAAGAGTGAGGCAGGGGTTGTGGGGAGTCTGGTGGATGTTGCAACATGTTGCAGCCTTCTTTTAGGTTTTGGGGTGTTAATGGCAACAGCAGGAACTGACCGGCATGTTTGCTTGTGAAGACAAGAAATGGAACGGGCCATGCCGAATTCGTTGGCAAGAGATCACCCGTGATTTGCTGCGATTTGACGGTGGGTGTGCTCACAGTGCCGAGGAGGGCAACCCCCAAATGGATGGCGTTTGAGTTTCGAACCAAACCGCGGAAAATGGAGTTCGCGACTTCGGGAGGCAAGTCTGCAGCTCATGCCCTGGAAAAAAGGAATACCCTCCCTGCCACTAACATAGCAACTGTCGGAAGGTACCTTAAAAAAAAAACTTTTGAAGGGAGGTGCTACAAGAGTGTATTTGCCCTACTGATGCCGGGCGCACATAATTACCAGTGGCAGTATCTTGAAGCTTGCAAGTTGGGAACGAGGAGCTCCTGGAAGTTTGCCATGCGGCAGGGTGCCGTGCACAACATGGGTGGTTCTAAAAACAAGAGACCCCTTTAAAACAGAGTTGGTTTCATAATTGTTGTTTCTATACAGTTTACCATTTGGGTATGAATTTTAATTGGGGACCCTGGGTTGAAATCCATTGGCGGGGGCTTGTGTCCAACCATGTTCCATCCAAAATAATTGCCATTTCAATCACCCCAATGCAAACCGTCCGCTGCAACATTGCCCTTGTGTGCCACCGCTCGGGAAATGTCGACAGTGAAAGATTCTCTTTCAAAAGATCCTTTTCAGCTTAAAGGGAAAGCCAAAAGAAACCTTTAAAGACGTCTTTTTGTTGAGGGTACCCGTCTTGGGATTGGTTTAAAGGGACTACCATTGTTGGGATCGTCCTTTTCTTTGACACATGGGCGTGTGGGGCAAACTTGTTTGGGTGTAAAGGAAACCACCACCTCCTTTTGGGGGTTCCCGGAGACACGCCCGAATACCCTTCTGTGAGCCACCGCCCAGCGGGCTGTCCTTTTCAAGAAGTCTCGCAAGCTCACACCAAGCTCTTCGAAAACCATGCCTCAAATGTGTGGCTCAGGGCTGGAAGGTCCTTGAAATGCGTATTGTCGCTTTGTTCTGCCTGTTTTTCAAAGATAGACTCAGGGTCAATGGTTGGTGATTGGGACAAATAAGAGGATGTTGTCACTTTACGAGAAAGGCAAACACCATGTCCAGAAAACCATGTCCAGAACAATCGCTTGTCCCCGAGCAAGAAAGCCACAAATGGGTTGATGTGTGAGAACAAAACACTTGAACTTGCGTTAAATCACAAACGATGTCCTTCTTTCATGGTATTGTCATCGTGATTACAATATAGCGCAGTTTATCTGTGTGGCCTTACTCTGTTCACATAAAATATCCTACAAAGAACCTTCACAATTCTAAGGTGTATTAACAGAAGGGTCATACTTGAGAATAAACTGATAACTGTGTTTTGTGCTTAAACAAAAGTGTCTTCAATATCAGAATGAACACCGTCTTTTCGTTGTTCTTGTGGTATGATTGAAGGAGTCAAAGGGTTGGTTTGAGATATGTATATATTATGTACGTACATATTAATTTATATATTTATGCATGTATGTATATCGTGGCAATGGATGTCATCAAATGCGATATGAATTCAATGTTGGTCACTTAGTGCCTTGTGCACTGTGATGTGTTCCATGCAAGATATGTTTGTTACCAACCACAAAAGCGCAAACACCAAGCCGACAAACAACACCGAGTCTCAGTTTGAAGACTGGCAACTCAAAGGTTCCAAACCTCTGTGCATGGTTGAGCCAATCTGCCCCTCTACTCAAAATAGTTTGCCTTGGGGGGTTTGAAACATGAAAACTCCTTTTCATGATGAAATTTCCCCCTATGAACACATTACACACCATCCACATCACAAGGAAGGCCCCCTTGGAGAGGAATTCATGGGGCTCCATGTCCACTCTTTGCGTATATTTCATGTGCATGTTTCCGCTGGAGCGCCATGTTCATGCTTCTTACATCATGCCCCGGCCGCCAGGGCGCAAAAGTGGTTCTCTTGCTCCAGAAAGCCTGGCTCAATGGCTTGCCGGCGGTTTGTTGGTTTCCCTCTACCAAAAAAAACTGACCCCAAACAAAACAAAAACGGCCGTGTGGCAGGCAATCTGCAAACCTCCAATCTTGCAAGGGCAAATTTGTCGTGCACCGCAAGGTGTACACCAACCCCCTTGTTGGCTATATACCACCTCTAGATATGACATCATATACTACCATAGTGTAAGATATTACAAGTGACGTAATATAGAATGCATTTAAAGAAGTATTACATGGTATAGAATAGGCTGATATAATATTCTATGACATCATGTAATACAATGCAATTCGAAGTATGATACAATGCAATGCAAAAAAAAAATACAATACAATCCGATGTACTATCATATTATACAGTACAGAATATATATTATATATACCATGGCATGATGCAAAAGAATAATATATTACAATATCATATAATATAATATGAAACTATATAATGTGTATATACATTTATATATATATATATACGGGAGAAAGACAGCTTGGGGTCCTTGACTGTACACCCTTAGGGGTTCATGACAATGGCCCTTGATTGCTGCTTCTCAGGAATAGGGTGTTACAATGGGTGTCTCTTTTTTGAGGCTGCTCTTTCTTCCGAAAAAGAGAAGCTTCTTCTGGGGATGTGAGGTCTGCTTTGTCCACTTGATGGACCTACTGTTGGTTTCCTGGCCTCACTTCAATGTTTCAAATTATGCGACGGCGCCAAACAAGGCATTCCAAAATGAACCTCCAAAGATCCATATGGAGCGTGATTTTGGGAGCACCCCTCTAATTCAAGCTAGAAGTATGAACTAGAGTCAAGACTATAGCAAGTTGCCATTGCAACGGTATGGCAGCCAAAAAGCTTCCGCACTACTTGGCGAGCGTGCCTGCAAAGATCCAAATCAGAAGCAGTTCGTCTATGCATGGGCCGCTTGGATTTGCTTCTCCTAGATCTTGCCACGTGGTTTTGGTTTGGGGGAAAATGTGTCCGAATTCTTCTTATGGCACCCTTGCACTGTGTAATTGCTTGCTTGTCCCAATTCGAAACGGTGCAGAAGGAGTCCGCACCACCGCGGATACAAGCGTTGCAAAAACCTACTGGCGATGCGCTGAGGAGAAAAACCAACAAACAAGCAAAACAAGAAGCGAGCAAAGAAAGAATGTAGATAAGCAAGCAAGAGAAGAACAGGACAAGGACACAAAGAAAGAACAAGGCCAAACATCACGAAAAGAAAGGAGAGAAGCAAGCACCCACAACAGGCCGGCACCGCTATCCAACAGCCGAACTCTCAAGGCGCTCCTGCACAGGACGACTTTCTGGCCTCCGATCTAGCAGGGTCTCCACCAGGGCACTCTCCGCCAAGTGATCTAGCGTTCGTGCGTGTTTCATGCTTGTGGCAAGGTGGAATATCCACGTTGGTTTGCAGACTGTAATCTGTGTCCTTTCTTGTTCCTTGTTGAGCGTTTCAAGTGTTCGCACACTCTTGGGCCAATCCCCCTTTAAAACATGCTTAAACACATTTCGGTTAAATGTGCTTGTTCAAAACATAGGGACCTCATGTAGGTGGGATTGATGTTTACCTCCCATCTTTGAGGGCGTGCCCCATTAAAACTCATAGCCAAGCAACCTGTCGATCTCCTGTTTGGCTCCTCTGTGAAGGGGGCGCAATGGCCAGGGTCGGGTTGTTTGAACTAATTTTGTACCAACCCTTTCCACCCCCCAAATCACCCGGGTGGGGTCCGAAAATTGGGTCCCCACATCACACTTGAGAGGTGGTTTGCAAGAGAAGATGAGTCATTTTAGATGAAACAGCCACTCACAATATCCCCAACTCTTTTTGCGATTGGGGTCTCAGTACAAACTATCCAAAAGGGCTGCTCCCGCTTCTGGAAACATCCAGACCGAGATGTGAGCTGCTCACTTTGCCGGGCTCGATGCTGGCATATGAACCTGACAAATGGCTCCCTACCCCAAATGGATCGGAGCTCAGGTGACTGTCACGGGAAACTCCCTTTTCCTCCTCCAACATGTTAGCTGTCATATTCAAAACTTAGGGTAACAGCATGCTCTTCCAGGGCGTCGGGGTGACTGATTTTGCAACCAACCCTGCTCGCCAAGAAACGTTGGCTCCTTCCCAGAAGCTTTGCTGGGGCCAACGCCTCGATCTCCCGCAAGACCTCGCGGAGTGGGGACATCGCGCTGCATGGGGCGGCAATCGGCGCAGCCGCTGCTTCCAAAAAAAAGCCCAACAAGTGGTGGGTGTCCCTTGCGCTCCCAAAGATCACCCATCAGAAATCAAAGAAGTCCAACAAAACAAAAGCATTCATGATCCGGCCTCTGTCTCATTCCAGGCGGTGACATCTTTATTAACAGGGCGAGGTTTGCAAGGTCACCCATGACGAAGATTCCTGTCATGAGGTTCCCCTATTTTCAGCCTGTGAATGATTGTAGTTTGCCCAAAACCGCAAATCGTTTGATTGTTCCATCAGAATGACATCACAAAGCTCATGCGAGTGACTTCGCTATAATTTTTGCAGGCTCCATTCCAGCTAAGACTGCTCCAACGTCAAACAATCCTTTTGCAAAGGTCTGCTGAATGATTGTGAGTCATACTCCGTCCAAGTCTAAGCTCAGCATGAAACTGTGTAGAATTATCAGCCAACACCACCACCACCACCACCACCACCAGCATCAGCATCATCATCGTCGTCGTCGTCGTCATCATCATCATCATCATCATCACCATCATCAGTACTAGTAGTTCGGTGCCAAGCCATACGTCAACGACGGGCAAAATCCATGAGGCATGGCTGTCCTGAGGCATGCCTGTCCTGCCAGGCAAACCTGCGAAGGCTAGCCAGAAATGCTCCTCGTGCTGTTGGCGGCCCGCTGACATGCAAACAAAGTGTGATGCCCGTCAAGTGGCACGTCTCCTCTTAGCTTCTCGTTAAGCTCCGCCAGAACAATAACATCGGGTTGTCCTGACATTGGGAACTACCCTCCGCTTGGATTGTGGTTGAAGGGAAGCCAAAGAAGACAAACACAAACATTTTTGGGTGGTACCCTCTGTAACCATGATGTCTGGTTTACGCAATTGCTTCAGGAAAGCTACAGTCGCACACACACGATTCGGACAAAGCCATGTGCCCTTTGAGGCTTCCTCTCAACAGGATACCCCAAGCCAATGAGGCCTCATGAGAAGTTCAGACAGGAGTGAACCCCCTTTAAGATCCAGAATGCAGGTTTCCTTCAAAAACGACGTGAACATAGTGAGCCAGTGTCAGGTAGGTGTGTACATTTACTAAATACAATATAGTATGCTGAACTGTCCTTTGCCCATATCAAAAGTCCAGCTTGCTCAAAAACATACTGTGGATTCCGTATTTGGTTCTCAAAAAAATGAGAGGCAAACCTCCACTCCCGAGCGGGGGAAACCCGCGCAAACCCGCATGTCGCTTCATGGCCTGGGCCTCCTCCTCAGCGAGCTCTCGCAAGTGCTCAGCCTCGGGTGTCACAAACGAAGAAGAATTCCCATGGGGCACCCCCCCCATCAAAATCAACCAGCGGTTCTGCTTGATCCGGGGGTAACGGGAGACCAACCGTACGAAAAAACACCAATCCATGGCTAAACATATGGCAAACATAGCTAAACGCTAAACCACTGGGAATCAGAGGGTGTCCTTGTTCGCTTGCTTGCAATGTGTAGGCATCCGTAGATCACCGTCAAATCAAGGGGTTGCTTGTTCTACTTGCCCAAAACGACAACATGGCAACCGCAGCAAAAAAAAGATGTGTGGTGGTTGTGGCTGAAGCATCGCCTCAATGATGGTGAATTTAAAGACCCCCGTGCAACTCACATGATACATGATGTCAGACAATAAAACAGAACGGAATCCTGGTTTCCCCAGATCCATGATAGCAACGTATGTTGAGCGTGTCTATGGGTTGGTCCAAATCTTGGCAGTATGTGTGCAATCAGGAAACCAACTGGAGGGCTCGGTGTGTGTGTGTGTGTGTTTGCGAAAACTACGGGGAACCTTTCGGGGAGTAGAACACCAACTGGAAACCAACTGGAGGGTCCCCAGTTTTGCGTCTGCTCGGACAACTTGCCCAATGCCGTTTGCCGGCATTGGTGGTTTGGGGTTGGGCTCCCTGTAGATGCCCCTAACACATCCAAGCAAAATCGCTTCAAATCGGCAACCAAAAGCTGATAACTTTAAAGCCCAGACTTTTGCCCTGGGCAACGCCATTCCAAAAGGCTACCAGCATGAGCTTCCTGCACAACACGGCGCCTCCTGTCGCGACTCAAAGGCGCAAAGGAAAACAGGAACAAAAGCACAACCGGAAAACCACAAAAGCAGCACACAAAAACGAAAAGAAACAAAATGACAAAATGACAAGAACAGAGCTGCTCGCTCCTTGGGCTCTCGCCGCCTTGATGACCTTTACCGCCACCCGCACGCCCGTCTCCCGGTCCTGTGGGTTGGATGGAAGATCCGGCATGGACCAAACCTATGGGGCCAGCCTCGGTCACTCCCCAGACATGAATCTCCCTCCCCATGAATCTAGCGTGCCCCTGCAAAGAGTCCCCCCAATCAGTAATGCTAAGTGGGGAGTTGATTCAGAAGGGGTCAGCACTGTCAAAGTCCGGCACTTGTAGTTGTTGGAGCAATCTACATCTACCTGGGGCTTGATTGTGGCTCAGCAATCGGCACAAGCCATGAACGAATAAGACATTGGAACGACATCTGAACGGGAGACGAAAGTACAAAAGCCAATCTAGCCTGCCCTTGGGGTAAATCCTGGATAAGAGGAGAAGCCTGTTCTAAGCCCGTCCCGCTGTTCAAAATCACAAAAGGCGAAATATTGGCAACCCTGGAGGCATGTCTCTCTGTGAAAGGCAAATCAGGCGTTGCCAGAAATTCTCGCCGAATAAGAATCCAGCTGGACGCCTTCTCGGCAAGTTGAGACATGACGTAAGTAGCACCTCAAGGCAGCTAGGCTACCAACTTTGAAGTAGATTCTACGGAAAGTCCCACGTAGAAATACATCTGTCCGTGTCTGAGATGTCAAGAGCAGTTGGGTCCAACGTGTTTGTTTTCAAAGCCATCCAAATGGTTAGTCACCTTTCTTACAAAGATTCTTAGGAGGGTTGACTGGTGGTTGACTGGGGCTCAAGCGCAAACTGGGAGGTTACTGGGCCTTACCAACCAATTAGCTAAGTCCCGAACCATACAAGACCCCCAAGCCCCACGCCCACTTGGGTACGTATCCAAACAGAAGTTTGGACCCAAAAAACTGTACTCTGTTTGACCTCCTTTCAGAACCAAGGTGCAAAGGGTATCGAGCCTCAAAAACCAGCCCCACGAATTCCTTCGAGATCGAAGCCCAAACTCAGCGAACCTTGGCGGCCAGCACGCGGCCAAAGGTGCCGTCCCCCAAGTGGCCCTTGACCCGGTACCTCCGGAGATCGACTTCGCACGAAGCCTTTCAAATGCTTGGTGGGTCAAAGAATGGAAGGCCTGCCAGAATATTAAGCAGCCAAGACACTGACACCCTTCAGTCCATATTTATCCCCGGTCGCTACGTATCATGCTTACCCACTTCCGTCAGTTTTTTTGCTGTTCTGGCCCCCTGAAATGCCAAAGCATCTGCCACAGCATGATTCGTATGTTTACGGGGGGGTTATAAAAAATGTCTTGGGGAGGGGGCAAGCGGAAACATTCACATGTAAAACCCCGAAAAGTGTCATGTAACAGCCGTTCCCCCCAAAGCTTCAACAACCTGGCTTTTGTTTGGTGCTCAGTGCAGGCGCCACATCCAGGATTGGCTACGACCCCATACCTGCTGTTGGGGAAAAAATAACTTAACTTGTTCTTGCCCAGGCCACACGAACAAAAGGAAGATGATTGGAATTCGTTAGACCCCGTTGTAAGACACAACCCGCCAAGCCCTGAAGACTGCCAAGTGAGGAAACCAGTGGGCTTGTTGATCTGCTCCGCCATGGAGTTGAGAACCTCTAGCACACATGTTGGATCAGCGCCCTTGCGTCGAGAAACGCTCTTGCGCCTGTTCTGGATGCCGGTTTTCAACTCGTCAGCTTGAAAATGTGTGCCTTTGCCCAAGGAGGGAAGCCAGCATCGTCTGAGGAAGCTGCGTCAAGATTCTTCAGCACCTTCAGCTGCTCCGCATAAGAGTTCGCGACATCCAAGAGCGCTCCAGCAGCTATAACCACAGGCTTTATTGACTTTGAAAAGGCCATAAAAGCACGGGATCCTTGAGAGGGTGATTTCTGGGGCCCTACGTTTCTCATGGCCCGGTAGGAGACCATGTACACCTATCGAATGATTCCTTGAAAGGACAGCATCAGGACCAGCTGTTTGTTTGATCGTCTGCAACAATGTGCTTTCTGATACAAAAACAGAAACTAACAAGCCAAATCTGCGGTACAACATCCAGTCAAAACACACGTGGGTGGTTGTCAATATGAGGGCCCCATTTTGGTATCCCCTTCAAAAGGCGGCACGAGGCAGCACCAGTGTTCAAAGAGCGGCCAGACGTTTTGACAACCCCGGCCACTTGATATTGTCTTTTTTAATAGAAGATCGATTTGTCAGAGTTGTAGGACTCCATGCCACAAGCAACACCAACCATTTGTCAATATTAAAACATGGACATGTCCGTGTTGCCGTTTCACCCTTCTTGCTTCAACCTTAGCGGTTCGTTGATCCCTTGCCAAATGTTCCTTTGTAGTGGGATATGTCATGAACCCCTCAGCACGCAAGCCCAAAAGTCTAAGGGTATGGGAACCGCCAAGCAACACTTTTCCCTTCCCATCCTCCAAGCACCCCTCAGCAAATCCCGCCTTCCCCCCAGTACCTGGCCAGTCTTCCACCTCGAAGGGATGTGAACGACAAACAAACAGGGGTTCTTGCGCGTCCCCCTGGGAGAAACATCAGCCCAAGGAGCCCAAACAGTGATGTTTCAAAGGGGGCAAATGGGGCAATTCACAAGGCGGTTCTAGACTCTAGACCAAACCAACTCTGGCCGTAGTGGCCAAGATGTGCAATGCAAGGGGATCTGCAAACCTTGCAAGAACCAAGTTGCTCAAAAGTAGGACCCTGTTTGGAACCCTGGTGGCCAAAAGGGTCCATAAAAATGCAACTCCTCGGAGCTTCAACTGGTGAGTTGCTGCAAGCAAGAAGGAGGTGCTCCTACGCAACACAAATGGGGGCAGCGTACCTGTCAAATGATTAAAATTTCCGAAGCCCTGGTTATAACTCACTTGGTGGACTTACAACCATGGTAAGTAGGTTATAAACACGGGTACTAACCACATACCAAGTATCCTTCCTCCTTCAAGACTCCAGAACGGCCGGGGCGGAATTCACGGCTACGGACACCCAGAAAGTCAAAGGCTCGGAAAACCAAGGGAGACCCTGATGCCCGGGGCTTTTGACACGCGAAGTGCCTTGCCTGAAATGCGGCCGCTGGGAATCTCGGAGCTCCCCATGCCTCGGACGCTCGGAAGTTCTCGGAAGCTGAAATGACCCTCTTCCTAACGGCTGGTCACATTCACATGTGGAGTGAAATGGGCAAGGCGAGACTGGCCTTTCAAAGATCGGGGAATGCATCGAAATCTGAGATCGCGGTTGTGTGAAATCCAAAAGGAGACGAAACATCCAGCATTCATCCAGAGGAGTCCCGGATGTGACCCTGCTTGTTTCGAGTATCTTTCTGGACAACACATGTTTGCAAACCAGATGTTGTTGGAGCCCAGGAAGGGATGGAGACCAGCACATGTCCCACGGTGACAGATCGTTTTCTCAGGAAGCTGCTCGCTCTTCCGGGCGGCTTCCTTCAGGTTTCATGTAGGGGCAAACTTGAGCGAGCTACGTCCCGTTACAGGAAAGCTCAAACCGGTGGTTGAAGCCCAAAAGCATCATGTGCCCCAGTTGGGTCATGCGCTCATTGTAATCAACCCAATTGCCCGGTCAAACAGTCGTTTATGTATATATTTATATATATGTAAGGATTGAGTCTCAGCAGCTCTCTGTCTTCAGGCGCCTTTGAACCATTTCCGCCCCCTTTTCCCTTCTCTTGCTGCCCAAACCGCCAAGCTGCGAGGGGACCTCCTCGTCTTTCTTTCGTCTCTTCCGTGCCCTGCGAAAAGGCACAATGAAATCTCTACATGGCGTCTTTGCAAGGTTGGTTGTGGGGTTCCAGGCTCCCGCAAGGAAACAAAAGAGATGCAATTTCGATTGGATTGTGATTGCTGTGCTTGCAATTTTAAGGGAATCCACTGAAGGCGCTATTCAGGACAAAGCCATGGTTTGACTTGGACACAGCCATGAACGGGGCAAACGCTGCTGCGGATTAGCCCTACCAGAAACCAAAAACAATACCCCTCTCCCGAGATAAATTGGTATCCTTGCTTGCAAGCCTCATCCCTGAAAACAGAAGGCACCCAAAACTACACACGGAATAATCTTCGGGCACATGGGATTCGCAATGTCTAGCTTGCAATCAATAAGTCAGTTCTGGCTTCGTCCTTGCCTTTTGCGACCCGAAGGGCCGCCAAAAACTCAAGCCACAGCGTGATGGAGCCGCTGGGCTGTTCAAAGTAAGGGGCATCCCCAAGCCAATTTTCCGTAGTCCATAGTTGAGCTCCCCCCTCTGTCATAGGGATTAAGGATTGAACAACCCCAACAACTGAAGCCTGTCAGGGACCCATGCCACAAAAGCTGCGGATGCCGCATGGCACCTTGAAGTGCCAACCACCTCCCTAAATGGTTCCGGCCCAAGTGAGGTGAGCTACTTTCACCTGGTCGTGCTCATGCCATGTCTCCGATTCATCCAAACAACTTACGTGCCTACGAGCAAACAAGATTAAGTTCCAACGTATTAACATGCTTCGTTGGAAGCGCTCAAAGGATGCAATGCATTCTAGAAAAGACAAACAGGTACCAGGAGGAACTTCACCAGAAGAAGGATCAGAAGCCAAAGTGCTTGAAGAGCCCTCCATCCTCTGCGCAATAAGCGACGTCAAGGAGCAACACGCAAAACACGTCGCAGGGGAACAGAATGGAGGATGGAACAAAGCGAGGGGCGGAGCGACGGGCGGAGAGAAGAGTGGGGAGTGGAGAGAAGAGCGCAGCGAAGAGTTGGCAGAAGAGCGGAGAGGAGAGCAGAGAAAAGAGCGGAACGAAGAGGAAGAGCGGGGAGCAGAGCGCCGAGCTGATCGAAGAGCGGGCAGAAGTTTGGAGAGAAGATCAAAGCAAATAGTGGATAAATTGGCGGATGGTCAGATCGTAAAGGAAAAAGATGTTGAAAAGCCAAGTTTCTTGGACCGCAGCCAGTGCACAAAAATTGGAAATATCACAAAATTGTGGAATTCACATCTACCGTTTGATCCCTCCCGGCGGGTCGGCCAGTAATGTTCACAATCTCAATCAACCAAGAGTTCCCATTCGGCACAGTTCCCAGTCCTCGTCCTACTCCGAGACCTCGGCCTCTCAACGCGGGAAACTGGCGGGCAATCATCTAGAATCAAAAAGCTTGACAAAACATGAAGCGAAATGGGCTGCGAGACCGCAAAAAGAACCGAGAAGACTGGACGGGCCCTGACTTGAGGTGAAAATGAAGGCTGCAATTGGAAAAGGGAGTTCACCATTCTCGAGGAACACCTGCATCGCCCTAACACAACCTTTCTGCTTGTCATGTGATTTGTTCACCGAAAACAAAAAGGAATGTTGCTACGTTCAAATTGTCCAATTCAAGTGAGCCTTGCAGAAGACAGAACGCAATCTATTTGCAAAAAAAAAGGCATGCAACACCTCCGTCCCAGGCTCGTCCATCTGCTTACAACATCCTGTTGCCTGTGTAACGCTTGCTGTTCAGGTCAATCAATAGAGAAATATCTGCCAATGCCCAACTTTCTGTTTGTCCCTTCGGAAAGACATTGGCAGCACTGGCGCCTTGCCATCGGCCGGCAGCTGACCTAGGCACAAACAAATGGTCCGTTTGCCGTTCCATTGCCCTACCAAGAACAATCATAGAACCAAAAAGGATATTCACAAGAATGGTCGTCCACTTCTGTCTGGCTCCATCTTTGCATTTGGCAGGGTGCGAGAAACTTGACTAAGGGAAACCTACCTGCCTGCCCGCTGCCTGTTGCCCACACCGCTGAGCTCACCGCTTAGCATAACTTGCGCATGCTGCAAAAGGGCCAAAGATGTCGCACACCAACAAATCCTTGGTACATTGTTTGTGTGTTTCATTGTTGGGTGAAAAAGTTGGACATTGTGCATTGCACTGGCTGCGGCAAAACCCAGCAGAAGAAGCACAGGCCGTGTATGACCATGTTTGATGATTGTGTGTGTGCTCAATGCGTAGATAGTTTTTGCAGTGTGGCTATGCTCTGTCCCTGTGTCCTGCAGTGCATTTTGGCGTGTCAAGGATTGTGGGTAAATATGGCCTGGCATTCCTTGTGCGTCACTGGAATGAGCTTGAGCCAGCCCAGCATGCCCATATGCACTGCAAGTCCACTGCGACTCTTAGCCTACTAAGATTGTTGCCTTGTATGCATTCGAATCACAGATCGTTGGCCCAAGACAGTTCACCATCAACCAAAACCAATTTTAGAGCGAAACATCTAAGGCTATTTTCCATGTTTCAGCGTACACGAACGCCACAGCTGAAACGAAATTGCGATTCAAACCTGTTTACCTTAGCATGGAAAATCGCGAAATAGGCTGGACAAACTTCGCGTAGTGGCCAGGGGAGGCAAACTAAAGCTAGCGTCCGCGCAAGGGCGACGTCGGTTCACTGTTAGTGGTTGCAAGGGAGGAACCCTCAAAAGAAAAACGAACAACGGCCAAAGCACCAGCCCTGCCTCCTCCCGGCGAAAAACGGTTTTAGGGAAGCAATGCATAAAACATGCGGCAGAGAGCAAGCATGCAAGAATGGGAGAAAGAACGGAGCGAAGGGCGGAGCGAAGGGTGGAGCGAAAGGTGGAGCGAAAGGTGGAGCGAAGGGCCGAACGAAGGGCGGGGAGAAAAACAAAGAGCAGGGCGAAGCGAAGGCGACAAAAGCATGAGAGAAGAATGGGCAGACCAGCGGAGACAAATGGTGGAGAGAAGGCCGCAGCGAAGGTGGGCAGAAGAGCGATGTAATGCCACTTCTATAAACTGTCTGCGTAACGCTACTTCGTTTTTCTGTAGGTTTGTTTTGAACCAAGCGGCCGTTGCGATCACGCCAGTCCGCTGTTTCAGCGCAGAGGGACAAAATGAGAAAAATCGAAGAGAAAGCGAACACAAACCAGACAAAACCCAACACATGGTTTGTGTTCGCTTTCGCATCGGTTTTTTCTCGTTTGTCTGCGCTGAAACAACGGACTGGCATGATCGCAACGGCCGCTTGGTTCAGAAAGCCAAAGATGTGTCCAAATCATTGCGTCCTATTGAGAAATGCCCAGCGCGCTGCATTCTGGGATGGAAGGCCAGATAGCGCAGCCCTTTTTCAGGAACGTGTGTTCACTTCCAGAAAAACGGATTCGCTTCGGCGATCATCCGATAAAATCGGCTCGGTTTTGCAAAGCACGGGTTGGCTCCTGGTTTGCTTTGCTGGCTCTCTGGAACGGTACGAATGGAACATTTGTTGCCTGAATTTGTGCTTTAGCTATTGTCGACGCATTTCTTGCTCGACTTAGTCATGATGTTGGGTTGCTCAAAACATTTTCTGCCGAAGACTGTTGGCTGTGTGGTTGCTTTTGTTTTGTGTTGGGTTTTGATTGAAAAGAAAACAACCACAAAACCAAAAATATGCGGCAAAAAAGGGATGCTTTAAACAACCCAGCATCATGACTAAGTCCAGCAAGAACCGCCTCAACAATAGCTAGCGCAAGACTCATTCGTACTCGCGGGAGTCAGCAACGCATCGAAAGCCTACGATTCAGCGTAAAACCCAACCAGAAGACATGGGAGACAGAGGCCGTTGCGATCACGCCAGTCCGCTGTTTCAGCGCAGAGGGACAAAACGAGAACAGCCGAAGCGAAAGCGAACACAAACCAGATAAAATCCCACACAAAACAACCACAAAACCAACAGTCTTCGGCAGAAAAGGGATGTTTTGAGCAACCCAACATCATGACTAAGTCGAGCAAGAAACGCGTCAACAATAGCTAGAGCAAAAATCGAGGCAACGAATGTTCCATTCGTATGCACGGGCACATCGAAAGCCCAAGAGTCAGCGAAACCGAACCAGAAGACGTCGGGAACCAGAGGCCTCAACCACTGAGCTACATTCTCACCCCACACCGTGAAACAATCCAAGAGAGGCCAGGATCGAGAAATTGCTATATACGGAAAACGAAAGAGCAAGCGTCATTCCCCCATAACAATACCACCACTGAAGCCCGCATCAAACATAAGTCGAAATCGCCAATAAGCAAAATCCCACACTGCCCAAAAAACCGGGGGAGAAAAAAAAAAAAAAGTGCCAAATGCAGCTCGAAAGTGACGCCAGTCATCATCCATCAGGATTACTGCGCAAATGTACCCAGGAGCGTACAAGAATCTGTACGTTAAGGCCTGTTGCACTAGCTTGAACCCAACTGCAAAGACCACGTTCAATTTTCCTACGGCAGCACCCAAAGGCCACTGTTTTTTGGCCTTTGCAATGCTTGGATGTTTGAAGGTGCGGTTGCAACTTTGGCCGCCCGGGCGCAGTTTCAGCCTAGAGTATTCTTTACAAGGCGGGGCCAGCATTATGTCGTCGAAATGTTGTGTGCCGAGTTGTGGTCGAAAGGCTCAAAGCAATCAAGGCCAAGCTCCACGGCCGCCGAAGTGACAGGGTGAGACCTGCCTGCGAAGACATCAAGAAGGAGCCCGCGGCTGGCGCCGGCAAGCTGTTTGTGGATCCTGTATGGATAGAAGTTGCGGCGCTGGCGAAGGCTGTGCGGTGCTTCGCAAGGCTGGAATGGTAAGGCCGGCGGGGGTGTTGCGGCCCAATCCCGTGCTCTGGGCTGGACCACGTAAATTTCTGCGATCCGGGTGCTTGAGCTGGCAGTTCAGGATGGTGCAGACATGTGCGAATCGGCGTTGTCCGAAGTGCAAAGGCCTGTTTGGTAGCGCTTGGCAACTTTCAATCTAGTGCACCAATCTGCTTTGGGCTTGGGGCCCTTCTTGCCTTTGCCCTTCTTTCGAGGGCGAGATGCCTCTCGGGAAGGTCTGTCCCGCGGAGGCACTGGCGTCTTGACGGCTTTGGGGCGGAGCTGCAAAAGCCCTGCGCGTCGTAGCTCCTGTGCGTTGACCGTGCGGAAACCTCGGGCTGCGTAAGGCAGAGGTCGGCAATCTGTTTGTCAAAGATTTGACAAGTGTGCTGCCTGGCAGAGTGGCAGGGCATTGCGGAAGACGGGCTGGATGCGCACGAGCCAGCTGCTGAGAGCGACTGGTGTTCGACGGACATGTTGGGGGGAGCTGGCAGGTGTTCTGTAAATGCGGTGGCACTCGGCGAGGGCTTTTCTAAGGCATGCTGCTGCGACACTGGACTCTGGGGGTCTGCTCATCAATGTGGGTTGTGGAAGGCATCAGATTGGCTTGTGATTTGAAAACTCATCAAAACCACTTGTGAAGGATTCGATTGGCTTGTTTGTTTTTAGATTGGCTTGTGAGAGGGATCAGATTGGCTTGTGAGGAGCATTAGATTGACTTGTGAGCATCAGATTGGCTTGTGAGAGGGGTCAGATTGACTTGTTTGGCTTTGACACCGAAAAGCCATCATTCGTCACTCATCATCCTCTTCCTCATCATCATTATCATCCATCGATCATCATCATCATCATCATCATCATCATCCATCATCATCCATCACCATCATCATTGTCATCATCATCATAATCATCACCAGCGTCATCATCCTCAGCATCATCATCATTATCATCATCATCATTATCATCACCATGATCATTCATCAGCATCATCATCCTCATCGTCGCATCATCATCATCATCATCATCATCATCATCGGCATCATCATCATCACCACCCTCATCATAATCATCATCCTCACCATCATCATCATCATCATTCTTCATCATAATCATCAGCATCGTCACCGTCATCCTCGTCATCATTCATCATCATCATCGCCGTCGTCATCCTCATCATTATCATCATCATCATCATTCATCAGCATTATCATCCTCATCGTCGCATCATCAGCAGCATTATCCATAATCATCATCACTTTTATCATCATCATCATCATCAGCATCATCATCATCCTCATCATCCATCATCATCATCATCGTCATCATCCACGTCATCCATCATCATCATGGGCATCCAGGATCATCATCGGCATCATCATCATCACACTCATCATCATCACCGTCATCATCATCATCATCATTCTTCATCATTATCATCAACATCGTCACCGTCATCATCGTCATCATTCATCATCATCATCGTCGTCATCCTCATCATTATCATCATCATCATTCATCATCAGCAGCATTATCCATCATCATCATCACTATCATCATCATCATCATCGTCGTCATCCTCATCATTACCATCATCATCATTCATCATCAGCAGCGTTATCCATCATCATCATCACTATCATCATCATCATCGGCATCATCATCATCATCGTTCATCCTCAGCATCATCATCAGCATCATCATCATCATCATCGTTCATCCTCAGCATCATCATCCGTCATCATCATCATCCATCATCATCATCATCACCATCAGCATTATCATCATCATCCTCAAGTTTGCGCTTGGTAGTTCAGGGTTACTGCTGATAAAGTTTGCGCAAAATCAATTACGGAGCCTGCCTTGCTGGACCCGGGCAATACGAATCATAAATGGAGGAAATAGAAACTTCATCATCACCTCATCATCAGCATCATCGGCATCAGCATCATCATCATCCATCATCATCATCGTCATCATCACCATCATCATCATCGTCATCATCATCATGATGATAATGATGCTGATGACAATGCAGAGATGAGATGATCATGATGATGATGATGACGATGATGATGATCGTGATGATGCTGATGATAATGCTGATGATGATGATGTCGATGATGATGATGATGGGTGATGATGATAATTTAGCTAGGCCCAGTAGACATGTGTTTGTAGGTGCTTAAATAGCAGTACGGGGGCGGTGACGATCATTTGGACGGTGTGACGGACGGGTGAACGAAGGGAGGACG